TACAGTGTTATTTTGGTGGTGTCTGGGAACCACACCTCCTGATATTCAGTTAGTATAGTCCCCTCCCCTTCTGCTTAAGCTGACTCATGTTCTACTTTAACCAACAGAAAACTGCAGAAGTAACTGCCCCAGTTCTGGACACAAAGCTTAAGGAGCATCTGCTTTTACACTCCAAGGAGGAAATGACCATTAAGAGGTCTAAATAACCTGAGACCACCGTGCTGTGCAGAAAATGCAAGAGTCTCTGAAGCAGTCAGTTTAGCAGACAGTGTCAGCTGAATTCCCAGACAGGGAGAGCCCAGCTGCCAAATCTGCAAATGAGGCCATTTTGAACCTTACTAGCAACTCTGCCAACATCAAGTGATGCAGAAGAATCACCTTACCAACCTATGGTATTATAAGAAATAATAAGTCATTTAATAAATACAAAATTGAAACATAAATTTGATGAAGGTGAAATAAACCTATGAAACTGGGCTCTTTATCACAAAGAAACATGCCTTCTTATATAGCACAAAAGCTGCACTCCTCATCCCTAAGAAGCATAAACTTTAGGAGAACAGTATGAGAATAATCATAAATAGCATGGCTACAGAAGGAGCAGTAGAACATGGTAAGAGGGGTAATAGGGGAAAAAAGTTTCACAGAAGCGGCTCCAAATAAAATGCCACAGAGTAGTAGATGGGGTGCATGGGAGTAACGATGGACATGTAGGTAGAAGAATGATGATATCTAAGCTCAACAGAAACAGGAAAAGATACAACATGGATTCTAAAGTTCCTAAGTACCTCCATCAGAAATAACACAGTGAATCTGGTATGGGAAGATGGAAGATACTGAAAGATATCAACAAGAAGTCATGTAATTACCTGAAAATTTGAAGTGGTACAAATGATGGTTATCATACGTAAATTCTAGAGGTGGAATCACATGATGGAAGAGTTGACAGAAAGTGACAGAAGAGACCAGTTAGAAGGTGACAAGATGACACGCAATAGTCGATCAAAGTAGAAATTTTATAGTGGAGGGAGACAGGGATAAGTACAGAGAGTAACTGAGAAGATAAAATAAGGAAGAGTAAATGAATACAAATGCGGAGAAAGGTGAACGAGAAACAGGATTATAATAGACAAAAATTTTACATTTGACTGTAAGAAGAGTGGTAGAATGAATAGCTATCATTCTAGAATCTGGAACACTCTAACAACACTATCAATTATTTTTTACCTAAATGACATCTATAGAACACACCACCCCTGAAAAGTAAGTTGCATTAAATACATACTGTTTTTCTGGGCCATAAAACAATTCTTAATAAATTTAAAATGATTTATATCGTATTAATATATTCTTATGATATCAAATTAAATTAGAGGTTAAGAACAGATGAAAAAATAGATATGTTTAAACTGATTTAAACATTACACAAAATATAAATGTTACACAAAATGTACATATATGGAAACATCACATATTACTCTATTAATATATAAAATTTTTATGTTTCTATGTAGCAAGTAAAAATAAATTTAATTTTTAAAAACTAATAATAGAAATATATATGGGAAGACTCTAAACGTTTGAAAACTACACACTATATTTCTAAATAACCTATATAAGATGTTGAAAGGGCAATTAAAAAGTATTTTGAACTGACTGAAAATGAAAGCACAACATTCCAAACTTTTGGTAGGGAGCAAAAGTTTATTTAGAAATGTACAATACTAACTGCCTATATTAGAAAAAAAAAGGACAATACTCAAATCAATGAGCAAACACTTTCAGAAAACAGAAAAAGAAAAATAAATTAAACCCAAGCTAAAGAGAAGAAAAGAAGCAATAAGGATTCAGGCACAAATCAATGATATAGGAAAAACAAAAAGAATAGAACCAATCAGCCAGCAAAAGCTGATTCCTGGGAAAGATCAATGAAATTCACAGCCATCTAATCAGACTGATGAAGAGGAGGGGTGAGGGCACATGTTACTAATATCAGGAATGAGAGAGAGAGAAAACCACTACAGACTACAGATATTGAAAGGAATATGATGAACAACTTTAAGCTGTCAAATTTGAAAACGTAATCAAAATAAATGGTTTCTGTGAAAAACATAAATTATCAAAACTCACTAAAGAAGAAACAGATAATCTAAATAGCTCTATATTTAGTATATTTACTAAATAATTTGAATTTATAGTTTAAAGAAATCTTTCTAACAGGGAAACTCTAGGCTTAGAGAGCTTCTCTAGCAAATTTTATAAAACATGCCAGGAAAAAAAAATAACTAATTCTATAAAATCATGTTCAGAAAGCTGAAGAGAAAGCAATAGTTCCAATTCGACATATGCCAGAAAAAAAATAACTAATTCTATAAAATCATGTTCAGAAAGCTGAAGAGAAAGCAATAGTTCCAATTCGTTTCCTGAGTACCACATTATCCAAAGCAGACAAAAACGTTTCAAGAAAATAAAACAATATAGAATAATGTATCAGTACAAATTGGGTTTTATGTCAGGAAAGCAAGATTGGTTTAATATATGAAAATCAATCAAATTCACCATGTTAGTAAACCTATAGCATGATCCATTAATAAATCAGACTGTATCACTCTGTGTGTAACAATATTATGAAAATAAAAATAGGAACTACAGAATACAAGAAAATATACGGAAATGGTATATATTTTATAAAGGGTTTATTTCCATAATTCAATTATAAGAAAATGTAACTCGTTAAAAACATCATTCAATACTGGAATAAGTACGTCTCTATTGAAGCTGTATGGATGGAAATAAGCATGTGAAAAGATGCTCACCATTATTAGCTATTAGGGAAATGCAAATCAAACCCACAAAGACATACAACTATTTACCTGTTAAAATCAAAACATTAAAAAGACCAACAACATACCGTGTTGGCCAGCTTATGGAGCATCTAGATTGCTCCTGTTTAGCTGGTGGAAAGGTAACACAGTGCAGTGAATTTGAGAAACATTTTGGTAATTTCCCAAAATTTAATTATATATCTATGTATGGTCCAGCCATTTCCCTCTTGGTGTTTACTTAAGAAAATCAAAATATGGGGCCGGGGATTTAGCTCAGTGGTTCTACCCACTGCCTCACAAGTACAAGGACCCAAGTTCGATCCCTGGTACAAAAAAAAAAGAAAAAGAAAATGAAAATATATGTTTATACAAGACTCTTACCGAACGTTCATAAAAGCTTTATTTGTACTAAAAAAACTGAAAACAGCATGGAATTCATCACAAGCTAAGTAATAAACAAACTGGGCTATATCCATACATGGGATACTAATCAGCAATAAAAAAACTACAACAGGGTTAAACCTTAGAATAATCATGTTGACTGAATGCCATATATATAGAGAGGTACATACTATATGACACACTATAAAAAATTCTAAACAGTGCAAACTCATCCATAGTCTGAAAGTAGAACAAGAATGTCTCAGGGTTAGAGGTGTGGGCAACAGGGAAGGCTAAACTGGGACAGAAAAAAATCAGACTGATGGATATGTTTATTATCTTTTTCTTTTTCAGCTTTAATTGAGTTTATTGGTACATTATCTTGATTGTAGTGATGGCTTCACTTGTATACACATTAGTCAAATTCTATCAAATTGTATACTTTATGTATAAGCAGTATGTCATATATCTCAAAATTGTTTTTAAAAAGTGGCATCACTAATCCAATAACGGTTGTATCTACAAGAAATTACGCTGTGAATAGAATGGAGACAGAAGAACCTGAGCACAAACTATCTCCTTAACAAACTTGGCTTTCACGTGGGAGAGGAAGAGAGCATGAGGGATCCTCACAGAACCAGAAAAAGGCTGAGTTATATGGTTTTAAAATGAGAGGAGTTTGAGTAAATTTATATGCTATAGAAAGATGCCAGGTCAGAGAATAAAGCTGAAAAACTGGGATGGAAAAAATCCAAGAATAAAAACAAGTCTTGAGTAAGAGAAACACTATGAGTACAAATGCAAGCATGCTTTGTGGTTAGGCTAAGAGATTCAAGAGTCTGTGGAATTCAATATTATTCTTTCTCTTCCTTTTTGGAAAAGATGACATATGAGAGTAGTATATGGAAGAAAAAGGTTGGAGCACTGGAAATGCCATTGGCTCCAGCTGTTGAAATGATGGGTGGAGATAAACGTTCCACTGAGGAGTATTCTCATGTAACAAGATGGCAGACAGTAAAATAGACTAAGCAAATAAATATGGAAGTCATAGTATACTACAGCCCTGGGCTTTCTCTCCCTGTATCCCTCACTACATTTCATTCACGTGCCAATCATTCCCACTTTTCCCTCAATGCACAATATTCAACAAATTCTTTAATTTTGTTGGAAAACATTTCTAAGACACACAAGAAAATAGAGAATTACTTAATGACAACAGTGCTTTGTTATCCCGCTTTATCAAATCTTAACATATTACCATATTTATTTCACAAGGCTTAAATCAAATGTAGGCTTACTGATCAAGAGAGACTTTACCATCAGCAAACATTAACATAATCATTTCATTTTTTACATTTCCTGTATTTCATGAATAATATCTAGAGCACCTCTGAGAACTTCAGGTACCATGGGTAGGCAAAAAGTCAAATATGGCCTGAAAGAGCCACTGGCAAGCTAATTAGGTAGGTTCCCTGAAGTGAATTGTTAATATACTAAAGCCATGCAAATCAGATCATACCCACAGGTATTCGATTCAGAAAAAAAATGCTTGGGCAAAGTATGAATTTTTAATAAAAATGATAATTATGACTCACAGCATTGATTCTATTTTTCTTTAGCGTTCTAACAATCATTGCCACTTTGGCATGGTAAATATAGGAAACGTTAATAATACAAAATAATCCCCCCCAACATCACATAAAGATTCTGAAGCTGAAAGCATTTCATAAGTTTCTATATTTTATTTTCAGGCAGTAATACATTGTCCATTAAAAAGCAAAATTTGGACAGTACCTGCCAAAACAGACTGTGCGCATCTCCTCTCAGAAGTTCAACTGTATCCCCTGCCTGGATATGTAAGGGGGGTCCTTCATGAAGAGCCGGGGGTGGTGTTCCAGTATAGTTTCTAATGACCTGCATTTTTGGCAAACCTGAAAATAAGCAACACAAATTTTAGAATTGAGAAAGCAACAATGTGCGAAGTCTAAAATGTATTTTTTTAAATAAAAAAAGAGCCATTATTAACATTAAAAAGTTTTACTAACACCAGTTCCAAATAAACATCTGAAATAATTCCAATGGAATGCTTTTCAACTTTGTTATTGAGATGGTATTGGAATAAGACACATATTTATCCCCTGGTCCCTTACGTACTTTTCTTCTCCTCACCACCAATCTCTTTTTAGCTGAAAAAATATTTCTCTTTCAGCTGATTCCTGCTTCATAAAAGCACATCACGTATACTTTAATGGAAAAGAATCAATTTTTTCATCAACTCCATCCTTTCTGCCTATTACTTTCCTCTTGGGCACTGGCTGATTTCATCACAAAGGAGGTTCGCCCTTTCTGTGTATGTATCACACTGACCAGTATAAGGCTCATATCTTAGGGTTATCTTTGTAATTCAAAAGCAAAAAGGTGATGGATGTGCCACTGCAATACTTAAGACATTTATATGGAGAAACGCTTCAGGCTCAAATTTAGGCTTGCAAAACAGACCCAATAAAAGGAACATGTCTGAGCCAATAGCATCAGCAATTTTTGAAGTACGGTTCTATCGCTTCTCTTTGTAGTTCTTTGAATTGCAATGAAGCCCTCCGTTCAATATTTCATTTTTTGGGAACAGCAGCTTCAACTTTACATGGGCCTAATTGCTGGTCACAAATGGACCACCTCATAGTCACTTTTTCATTCAGAAGACTGCTCCCAGCTAAAAGAGAGATCATTCATAAACACAATTTCTGCTGCACATGTAGGGACTTAGGCCATTGTTTACTATACTTCAGGAATTTCTATTCTGATGATGGACTACAATGACAGGATCACTGTGTAGCACAAAGCAAAGAAAGAGGATTAACTACTCATCTGCTTCTAGACATCTAAAGTTACCTAGAAAAGACCTTGATAGCTGCATGAAATGCTCCAGCAAAGAATTAGTAAGATCCTCAGCTGTAGCCAAGGCTTCCTTATCAATCCAGTGAACCAGAAGGCAGAGGTCTGAAAAACACTGCGCTGTTCACCCCAATTTAGCAGTGGTGGCTGGGTGAGGTATGTTATGATCGCTAAATCTCCCCTTGCCTTCAGTTCTTGTGCCACTGACCCTGGAGGGATGACTTTAATCCCACATCTTTCATGGAGTGTTTCCCTGCTGGATATTATAAGGTTACTCCCTCTCACAAACAGCAGATTTCATTGTCTTTCCTCAAAACAACACTTGACAAGAGAACACTTCTTGGTAAAGTGTTTATTAGACTTTTTCTCAACATACTGTAAATGCCTTCAGAACAGAGAGTACACGTTCTATTAAACTGCTACTTTTAACCTAAAATTAAATCTAGACATTCCATACACATGACAACCGACTTAAAAGCTCAATAGATGAAAAAAGTTTCAGGAAACAGAATTGTTCAGAGCTCTAGTTTGCATGACAGTTATTCCATGTTTAGGGGCCATAGTTGTGCTTGGTCTCCATTTAAATGAGTATTTCTAGGGCATGGAATGTACTCATTGGGGAAATTTTGGTTTTAGGTTAAGTTTTAAATAGAGGACAAAGGTAAGAAAGAAGAGTCTTTAAACATGAAATAGCTCAAGTGGTCGCATATACCGTGGCCAACAGAGTTTTTTTACTGTCAACATGTCCAAGTGAGTCATACTCAAGAATAAATGATTAAAAATTCATAAAATGTTTAGGGAAAAAATTAACTCTGAGGACACTCAATTACCCAAATATGTACTAGAGATTATAATACAGAAATGCCCAGGCTGCATATGATGCTGTAAGGTATCAAGCACACAGACAGACTATAATACTGTCTCGTGTCTTTTTAGATGGACTTGAATGTCTCAGCACATGGTCTCGTAAAACTCAAAATGTTTAAGATGGAAAAGTGTGCATTTATTATTATCATAGTCTGGCTGAGAATTGAGATTTATGCTGCAAAGTAGCAATGATGGATTTTTTTATTTTATAGTCCCACTAATTTCTCAGCTTGCATTTACTCTGTTTTCTACAATTATTCTTCATTATGAGCTTCATTTGGGAAGTGGACCTAGCAGCACATTCATACAGGTATGTTGCTGATCTTCCTAAAACAAAAATAATGGGATACTTGCCAGTGGTCATCGCTGAACCTAGGTGATAGCCAGGAGGACAATGTACCTAGCCTCATATCAGCCATCAACAACTTGTAAAGCACAGTGTTCATTAAACTCCCAATTGAGTATGGTTTGCCCTTTGACTGTACAGATCAAAGGATAAAAAGATTGGAGGAAGGGGACAGCCAAGATGCATTCTGATACTTTGCTCTTGGTTCTGATGTTAGCATATAGGTGGTGTGCTACAAAACTTGTAGGATGAATGACTGTTCTGCAAAAGGCCCCTTTGTATTCCTTCATTAAAAAAAAAAAAAAGACAGAAAAAAAAAGGACAGGAACATCACTGTGAACATAATCACATTAACCAAGATTTAAAATGCAATTAAAATAAGTAAAAAAAAAGAGAATGGGTTAAACTTCACACCAGCACTCAACCATCAATTTAATACTTAACACAATCTATTGCCACAGCAGGCATCTCACTTTACAAATGAGACCAAGAACAGAGAATAAATTAAATGTACTGATGCTCATATTTTGAATAGCCATTTACTGTTGATTTAGTGCAGATTTTCCTCTTCCCATAATAATATATGCCTGACAGGCTTTAACCTCTGTTTAAAAATGGCCAGGATGGAACTTTCATTCCATGTCCCCATGACAACTCGGTCATCATGGCACAGTTTATTAACAAGTTTTTCCTGAAACTCACTTAAAACTCTGTGTGTAACTGCTCTCCATTGACCTGCCTCCTTCCATCTGGAATTATGCTGAAGAAGGCAAATCTCCCTTCTCTCGATCACAGTTTCAAAATTTGTTCAGGCTGAAAATCCCTAGTTCCTTAAAAAAAAAAAAAAGTATCTTCCCTTGGCTCGCCACACTTCAAGGGATTCTGAGATGCAAAAACCACACACTGTAAAAGTAGAAATGTAGTTTTCTTCATTGACACTAATTAATCAGAAATAAAGAGCCAAAGGTTATATTTTTTAAATGACCAAAACTATATATTTCATTATATTATAAACCCAGACAGCTGCTTCTTTCTTCTTGGCAAAACACAGACTCAGTACTTGTTTATTTTCTTTCTGCCCCACAGCCGCATTTACAGTGGGCATGTTGGTACAATTACAGTGCTACTACCAAATCTTATTTATATTGCAACTACCCTAACAGCCTCAATATTAAATGCAAAATAATGTGTAATTTCAACATATATGCTTTGGCAATCTTGAAAATTCCTGAAACTTTATATAGTCAATTATCTTTATCTAAGGGAATAATGATTAAAATGGCTCAGAGAAAATTAGATCTCATGCCAGACGTTTAGTTGTTTTGGCTTGTTTTACTCCCTATGATAAATGCTTTGTTGTACAGCTAACTATACTCTTAAAATTTCACTTGGGGACAATTTTTCCCTTTAATTTATATCCATACTAGTAATTGTCCTTGGGTATTAAATCAGACAAAGTCCCCAAGTCATCCTTATGCATGAAAGATTAACACCCAGAAGAACTGGCAATATTACAGTGATGGTTATACTTCAGAAACAGTCCTAGAGTTCTGGTTAAATAAAACTAAAGCCACATGTAAGTATGTGGAATGCTAGTTTCAAGAAAATATAGAAAATGGACCAGAGATTTAGCTCAGTGTTTCCGCCACCTGCCTCGCAAGTGCAAGGACCCGAGTTCAATCTTGGTATGAAAAATAAAGAAAATATAAAAATTATTTTTAATAGGGTTTTGGGAAATAAGATTTCCTTTCAAATCTGACTTCAATGCCACTATGCGTTTTTTTTTTTAATGTTAATAGATGGTAAAATCCCACTAGAAATTTTGCCAGATACAAACTGTTGCACTAATAATTGTCACTTAAAGTGAACTTAACAGTGGCTTGTACCAGTATCAGCCACTGTGCCTTCTAAGCAGGAGGAGAAGAGTGTTTGCCACAATATAGATTAGTATCTCTAAACGATGCTGATATTACTTCCCTGATGCAATGGGCTCCCTGGGGGCAATAATTTAGAGGACAGTGCTGCCTGTGAGATAGATGCACTGTCAGTACTGTGCTGGCCTTTCACCTCTGGGTGTAATTTAAAATCTAAACACAGCCATATTAAAATATAATTAGTTTTACAAAATGTTGGAGGTTGGTTTATCCTGGGAAACTGACCACAAGCGTAACACATTCAGTCACTCATTAACTGTGTCTTGTGCACTTGCCAGCGCTGGGCATGACAGCTTCAGAACAGAGCAGGGCCAAGGTTCCTGCCCTCAACCAGCCTTTACTCAGTCCATGAATAGACAGGCAGGGATATAAACATTTTAGAAAATTGTGTTTAATAAGTAATATTCTGACATATGTATTAAATTTTTTATACACATTTCCTGCCTGTGACCTTCAAACTCTAGTTGGGTTTCAGAATCTCATTCCTGTGGATACATGTAAAAGGCACTATGACCAACATCCACCATGACCAAACTTGCTTTTGAGAAAATTACACTTAAGTAAGTGTTGTACCAACAAAACCTGCGCGCTTTAAATTAAAATCTAGGCCCTTCCTGATACAAGCCCACAGTCTAAACCTCAAGTCCTGACAGTCAGGTTAAGTGCCTAAGATGCTCGGTACTGGGCTTCCCCTGCCCATCACATCATAAAAGGCTTTTTCCAAGAAAGTGTTACTCTTTCCCTCACTTGTTGGTCTTCCTAGAGGAGCATGCTCTCCAAATGGAAACCATCTGCTACAGCAGAAGCAGACAATTTGGTGAAAAACAAACTAAAGAACTAACTGTTCAAAAGGGAACACTTCCCATCAATGATTTTTAAAATTTTCACCCAG